GTTTTCAAGTGGGTAGTCGATCTCACTGTATACTTTGATCTCTCTCTCTCTCTCTCTCTCTCTCTCTCTCTCTCTCTCTCTCTTTCTCTCTCTCTTTTATTTCATGCTTCTCGGCTGTTGATTCCAGCTTATTGACAATGACGATGGTTATATTTGGAATACCCCCCTTTCGGTGAATTACCAACTCCCACATTTTGAATGAACAAGTACTCGTAATGTAGATTATGACTAAATTCAAGGCATTTTTCGGTCAAGACTTGGCTGGAAGTCCAACACCCGGTTCTACAAGTTTCGGTGACTTCTCTACCTTTCAGCCCCTCAAACTTCATGCCATCTCACAGACAAGTAAAAGCAACTATGGCTTGAGAGTTTGCTCTGGGATCATTCAAATGGGCATGATATCTCGTAACTTGTCAATATTTCGACGAAAGATGGCAGGTTTTGAACATTGTTTGCAGATTAGACCTGCGAGCTGTAAGATAGGTATCACATCACTGCAAGAACTTTGAGGAGCGTACAATCATCCAAGCCCGACTATGTATATAAGGTCATTTTCTCTTTGGTCCGTCGATCTTGAGGCATTGAGAAGGAAACAAACCAACCCTTACAGGTACTTGTCCTACCTTGGTTAACAGATCCCATGGGAATCCTGAAGCGAAGCAGCCAGCCACAGAAAGAGAAGGGCCCAAGTTTCACCGTTCACGGCCCTCCAGAGCTCATGAGCAGTTCCTCTTTCCTTGCCCTTCCACTTGGTCAGCGATGGACCGCACAACCCGCAAATATTCTGAAAATAGTAACAAAGAGGGCAAGAAACCTTCTCATGAGGGGGCGTGTGTATTCAATCACTTGCAAGTCTGTTGAGCGTTTCCGTACAGAGCCTTGACAAATTACACAAGGCCATGAAGTGGAACAACGCACGTTGTTGAGGTTAATTAGATATTTACGTTCCGAGGTGTGTATACACATATACACAATATTCAATCCGCGGCTCGTCTTCCCAATAGCCGCTCGTTCACATCTAGGTGAAGTAAGCGACTCCGACAAGACTCATCATCAACCCCAAAGTCGTGGCAAAACACCCGACACAGCAGTCCACCACATCCAGATGCCACACTTCCCATACACAAACGAGCAAATTTTGAGGCAATTTCAGGAATGAAGTAACTTTATTGCCGCCCTTATCTCGCAGGGACGAGTACAGCCTAGATCGTTATCCCCGGGCTTTTCCAATCTGCTACGACTACTGAAGCAAGCCTCAGAAACGATACCATGCAACGGGAACCAAGTAACAGGCTCTTGCTACTACTTTAGAAGGCCAGCAATGCCATCAGAAGTTGCGGCGTGAGACGCGACTGTGCTAGGGAGAGTTCGAAAAACAACATGCTCGAAGACTGAGGCCGAGAAGCCATATGCGAGAATCTGTGACTACCCTTCAGCAAGTAGTAGACAGGGGTGGTGTGACTCTCGATATTACGCAGTATTGCTCAGTCATCCCCAGACAGTCCACATGCGGTGAATCATCTTGTAGGTTTTTCCAACGTTCACGTAGAAAAGCTCCAGGTCACGATTCCTTTAGTGGATGGGACAATGTTTAGACATGTGCTCGAATTTCATAACGTTAATTTACCCGCAGACCATAATGCAAAGAGTCGACCTAACGCGCAAGAGGTATATAATCCCTATCCCATGGGACATCCCAAAGTGTCATTTCATAGTGAATCCAGAATTCTTTTACAACTCGTCGTGAGCATCCTCCTTGGCCTTCTCGGTCTCCTTGGCCTTCTCAGCCTCCTTCTCGGTGGCAGCAGGGGCGGCCTGGCTCTCCTCGGCGCCCTCCTCCTTGACGGAGACCTCGGCCTTGTACTTGCCGTTCTCCTTGACGAACTCGATCAGGTCCTCAATGGAGCGGGAGCCGGAGTAAGTGACAGCGGCATCCTTGTTGCCTGCGGGGTAGAGCTTGATGGTGGGGAAGCCCTGGATCTCATCGGGAACATCGTTGGCAGTGGCGTCAACCTTGGCGATGACGACCTTGTCCTTGAACTCAGACTTCTGGTACAGCTCACCAAGCTCCTCGTACTTGGGGGCCAGAGCCTTGCAGTGACCGCACCAGGGGGCGTAGAACTCAATCAGGACATCCTTCTTGTCATCAAGGACAATCTGCTCATAGTTCTTGGCGACGACAACAGCAACGGGGCCGTCGTTAGACTCAGGGATGGGCTCGGACTTGATGCTGGGCTCCATCTTGCCGGAGGAGAACTCCTCAACAAACTTGGCGATGTCATCGTGGGTGATCTTCTTCTCCTGGTCAAAGGGGAACTTCTGGTTCTTGACGGTCTCCTGGATAGCGAAAGAGGGGAACTTGTCGGTGGCGAGGTTGAGGTTGCCGGCGTGAGCACCGAACGCCTTGGCGTCAATGGTAGCGAAGTTGATCTTGCCGCGGTACTTCTCAGCGATGGGCTTCAGGGCGGTGCCAAGCTCCTCACGCTCCTCGGGGGTCTCGGCGAAGATGTAGGCGAGGGGAAGGCCAGCAGACATGTAGCCGGAGTAGGTCTCGGGGCCGACCTCACCGATCAAGGGGGTGGCGGCGGTCTGGGCGAAGGTCTCAATGGCCTCAGCGTCGAACTTCTCAGTGAAGGTGGCCTTGCCCTCATCGAAAGACTTGTAGAGGACAATGGCAGGGGCCTTGATGCCCTCGGCCTCAGCAACAGCGGCGTCATTGACGCCACCGAAGAGGTAGGTGTCGCGGAGCTTCTCGGCGACCTTGGTGAAGGTCTCGTTGGAGGCCTTGTCAGCGGCGTCGATGTAGGCGACGAGTACGACCTTGTCGGCGGTCTTGAACTCCTCAAGGGTGTCCTTGGTGAGGATGGAGACGGCAGGCAGGGACTGCTTCACCATGTAGGAGGTGATGGCAGCAGCCTTGCGCTGGCCGGAGTAGGGGGAGACGTTGTCGGGGCCACGGAAGACCTTGAGGGTAGGGTAGCCCTCAACGCCGTACTCCTGGCAGAGGTCAGACTCCTCAGTGCAGTCGACCTTGACGAGCTTGATGTTCTTCTCCTTGAGAGAGGTGGCGGCCTCCTCGTACTCGGGAGCGAGGGCCTTGCAATGACCGCACCAGGGAGCGAAGACTAGAGGTCCGCGGTCAGTATGTATTCGACTCGAAGGGAGCTGGGCTAACGGGGAGACTCACACTCAGCGAGGACGAGGTCGTTGGTCTTGATGAAGTCAGCGAAGTCATCCTTCTTCAACTGAGCAACATCGGAAGCAGAAACCGCAGCAGCGGCGGCCAGAAGGCCAAGGGCGACACGCTTGCAGAACATCTTGATCTTGTGAGGAGAAATGTTAGCTTTGATACAAGCGATTGGTGATGCTATCTCAGAGAGTGGCGATGGTCTGGGTGATTCGTAGAAGCAAGCAGGCTTGTAGGCTCAATGAAGCCTCAGCAACGAGAGCTATCTTGTGATTTTGCAGTGGTGGCGACCGTTTGCTGCTACCTCAGGCGACCGATGAAGCTTGGTGATAGCTTGGGGAGTAAGGAGGAAATTGAGAAGAAGCTTACCTTTCTTTGATCTGAAGAATAAACAGTGAAGAAAGAAAGAAAAAAAGTACACTCGTGGAGAAGGCGAGGCTGTCAAATCTAACTTCAGACCGTGGTGAATGGGGAAGGCTTTGGTCTTAAGTAGAGGGTGGAAGAGGTTCTGGAGACAGATTCCGGATTTCTAAAGGGCAATTGAGAACAGGTGTCCCTTTTTCCAGGAACCGCCCGTCAGCTCATGCATTCACTCAGGCGGCTGCAGTGTCTGTGATGGATGTTCCCCCGTCCACCCCTCTCCTCTTTTTGGGCTAAGTAGTCCAAGGTCTCTGTAGTCGTGCACATGCGTGGTGAATACATGTATCGAGCAGAAAGATACTTACCCCAATCCACTAGCGGGCCCGTGCCTCCCAAGGTACCTTATGGTTGTGAGGGGCAAATTCGCTTCCACTCCCCTCCCTTCCAGGCACTCCCCACCGTTCGACCGCTAGGAACACCAACTTACGGTGAATTGATAATCAAGCCAGACCTCCGGCCGTTAAGGTGAAGCTGAGCTAAGGTAGGAACGGTTGCCCTTTTTTGCCGTGGAAAGGTAAGCTCAGTTTGCCATCGTCAGGTAGGTACCTAATCTTTCTACATTGGCATCACGCTTATTTCTGCCTACACCAAAATCCCCTTTCTGCTTTTAAGTCTCCGCCAGTGCATGAAGAAGATGCTGGAGCTCCACGACCCGCTTGTCAGCAGTCTCTCGAGGCTGAGAGCCTCAAAGGCGAGATAGGCCGGGAGGCAAACGCGCTCGGAGGCCATTGTCATTGACAGCCCGCCCCCCTTTCCTCGCGTTCCGCCTTATGCCTGGGCGGTCTGAGACAAGACGGGACATCGCTGATCGAGGAATGGCTTTCAACATGGCACAGGCATTGGCGATGGCACAGGCAGCATGAGGGAGGACATCTGCCCCTCAAACCACGTCTTCTCTCCGACCTCCATCCCATGTTCTCCCAGTTCCAGCCCGGACCAGCTCAGTGCGCGCCAGGCTCGGGTTGGTTGTGACGGGAGTGTGTGGTGGTGGTGGACTTATTCCATTCCCGTTTGTGTCTCTTGCTCCTTCCTCTACCGTGAAAGGAATGCAACGCAGACACAGCCAACAATAGGGTCCGTCGGTCTTGGGGGCGGCAAGGTTTCCTAACGTCCCAAAGGACACATTTCCACGTTTTGCCGTGTACAAGTAGGTAGCAACAAGCTCTTCGGTGTATTTGTTGCCTTGCAAGCTTGTCCATACCGGCACAAGGAGCATCCCTCTTGCCATTGGATCTGTCCGTGGGATTCCAACGTCTCCACCACCCGCCAAGCTGCCCTGCCGGCTCGAGATCCATCGGCAATGCTACTGTGGAGCGGATCACTAAGCCAGATCTGGCCAGTTTCGGCAGCTTCTTATTTGGTGCTTCGACTCGCAGTCCGACAAAAGAGTGGAAGTGGCTGCTGCGAGAAGCTCCAGCCACCCATTATCGCTCACGCTGCTCTACTGGATACCGTGGTCAAACCTCCCAGCCTCATTTCCAGGGTCCAACATGGCAATATCGACGCAAACCATAATTGCACCTGCGATGCTGCATCTGGACTTGTTGTGGAGTTTGGGTAGGGCGTTGCCGGAAACCACGGCAAAACCTTTGAGCGACGGCAGAGCTATTCAGATGAAAGAAACAAGCCCACAAGACTCGAAAAGTAGCACTCACATCGCCACATTTACGTATGGTATTTTTCGCCTCTACGGAATAAATCCCAAAATGCTACTCCGTCATGTCCGTTTGCTTCGCTGCCTGCAAAGTGGAACCGTGTCCCGAACAACGCAGCGGCTGACATGCTCCGCGTCGCCCCAAACTCTCCATCTCATCTTTGCCTCCGACCCGGCCGCTCCGCCGCAAGTGGGGCCCTGACGAGGAAGCTTTCAGAATCCGTCTCATGGTTTGTGCTATGTAAATGGTCAGACAAGACACATGCTGGCCGGAGCGCCGTTCGTTGGCATCGTATTCCAATTTCCGTATATTATCTCGCAAACCAATCGTCGCGTCACTGAGTCGTTCAACCATAAATGAGGCTGAAATGCGAAAAGGACAGATGTTAGTTCCCTAGGGTAAACGTGAGCATTGTATCCTTACTTTATCCCATATCGAATCTCGCCCTGGAAATTACCCACCACATAAACCGACTGATCCTCAAGATGATTACCTAGACAGGCAAGTGCCTCTAGATGACAGGCCAATCAAGCCATCGTATCCTCAGGGTTGTGAGGTTCAGCGACTCAACTATCTATTATTCTCTCGTTTTTATGAGGTATGGATCGAAGTCGTTGACCATCCGTACTCGGCCGTTGATTGGTCACCTACCTCTCGTTTCTGAGGCTGAATACCCTCACCTACACATCGCGGACGGATAATAGGTAACGATGAGCACTCATTGCAAGCTTAGTCGTCTTCTCGCAAGCTTTGACCCCAATCAAGGCTTGTCCGGGTAGCTTGCAGTCAGGGACAGAGAGTCCAATCTCTTGATAAGCTCGAACAGCAGCTTCATGCCGCCTATCCTTCCAGTATTCCATCTTGCTAGCCACGACGGTGTTAAAAAAATAAGAATAGATGTCAGTAAACTCCTTGGAGAATGCGACTTCCTTCGTCGCAGTCCTCAGCCATGAGCTCCTCCTCCTCCTCCCTGCCATCATATGACTAGGGAAAGAGATATTTCTATGAGGTAGCTAGTAAGTACTTGGAGGAGTGCCTTCCTGGTGAGTTTGAATCATCACGAAGAAGGTACTCTCTTGCGGTGGCGAACCAAATGAGCCTACCTGCCTCTACCGCATCGTCGTCCTTTCCCATTTCGAGTTTATGAAGGAGTCAACCTCAAGTGACGTCTACTCCGGTGCTAATGCTGCCAAAATGTTTGTCCGACACAACGCCTAGCCATGCCAGCCTGCCGGCCTCAACATAGCTTCATGTCGACTCTTTGGGATCTCTCCAGTGCCCGACGATTTTGCTCTGTCCTTCGAGTAGAGATACTTCATTTTACCGTCCTGCCCGTGCCAAAAACCGGCCAAAGTCTCTCCAAATGGAGAACGTCCACGTTCAACGTCGTTCTGCCAGTCATGGCTCGCTTCGTAGCAGCTACAAGTCTCACGCTCGACCACCCATTGGCTACGGTCTGCCTCGCCGGCCGTTGAGAATCGTCAACGAGAATGCTAATTTACTTCCATCGCCCGGTCCTCTTGAGAGCATGCTCAAGACTACAACGGAGACAGGCGACATAGGCATCTTCAGCATCAAGCCAATAGCTCCAGCGGCTACAATCCATCAAGGCGCAAGATCACGGACCGGACTCGATGTTGGCACAATCTTCAGATCTAAGTCTCGTGCCAGCGATCGAACCAACTCTAGAGCCCGACGCCGATGGCATAGCTATGATAGAGACACCAATTCAGAGATCATATCCATGTACGGCTCAGAAGGTCCTCCATCCTCCTTCTCCAGCTCGTTTTCTCCTAGAATCGATGATCCATATCAGCGTTCGTACTCCCTGACCACATGTGGTTTTCGGAACTTGTCCAGTAACAAGTCGTCTGGTACTCTCCAAAGTCGTTCGAGTAGTGGCATCTTGCAACGACCACGCTCTCCTTTTCCGTACCCGACTCGATTGAAACGCCCCGGAGTTCGGCCGTCTTCGCCGGCTCTCACAGAGAATGGACTTGTTGACTACAGTAGGATGGTCGAAATAGATCGAATCTCATATGTAAGCGTTTTTGGCTCCTTATCAAGTGTAGCGGGATGATAGCTCACCAGCCACCAGAGGACTGTGCATGGCTCGTGTAAGCCAACCTTTCCACAACCGCAACGACTTGGTCCCCCCAATGCGTTCCGTGGCGGCATCAACCAATCCATGCCGTCTCTACCGTGTTCCAACTCTTTCGTGTCGCCAACCAGATCCACTCTCAGGTATCGTGGGAACCATAACCCGTGGTGTAACGAGCTTGCGAGCAGACCACAACAACCATCCACGGATCGCAGTGTAAGATCTTCAAGCCTGACTTCGGTCATTGAGATGTACTACAGGTCACCCTCAAACTCGGAACCCAAACTGTCACGCACAATTCGCCCCGCCGGATCTTTCTACTACGACTACACTGAAGGTTTTGAAACCCCGGAACACCAGATAGATCCTCGCGAATCCACCCTGGCGCTGCCTTTAGCTCCAATTCCCCAGCGAGCATCGAGCCTTACCAAAGCCTTAGTACTTCGAGACGAAACGAAGGCTCGTCTTGACGCTCTCGTCGACATATCTGTGAAAGACTCAAGCGACTCGTCTGGTGATAACTGTCGAGCATTAGTCAGGAAACCTGCCAACGACATCGAAACGTTACCTTCACAACGCTCGAACTCCAGAACCGCCCCTCCAATGCTGGAACATTTTCCGTTCGAAGTTGATGGGACATTGGCTTCTCGCCCTGTCGACGTTGATGCTGATCCGAGCATGTTTGCACAATTATCACAAGTCGTTGATACTACAGCTTTACGGCGATCTCAAACGACTCCAAAGCCTCCATATACCAGAAATGGCAAATCCAAGGACGAAGAAGATGTCGAATACAACGTGGAAGACTGCGTGAATCCCACTTGTGGCCAAGAGCAGGCGAATGGAGGCCATACGACCATGGCTAAAGCTGATGCTTTCCGTCCCGTTGAGGAACATCTAACGAAAGCTCCCCCTGAGTCCTGTTGCAAAAATCCAGAAGAGCTCATCTCAGGCCCTAGCGAACCAAACTCGTCGCGAGTAGAGCTGGTGAATCGAGAGCGGATGTCCAGAAGAGCACCATCCCACAGTGGCCTTGCGGCGCTTCTCCGCTCGAGCTTACGACATTCGGTTGAGCCTGGCTTATCCGACTTAGCGGCTTTAGTTTCATCATTTGAGCGGATTGCCAAGTCACCATTCATGAGCAAGGATGATGACTCAACTGGGCTTCGCGAGGCCTATGAAGATGAGCCGAAAGACCTCAATACTGAACTTTACCACGATCAACCCCTGAAACCGGGCAACATGGCGGATGAGGCTGCCACAAGTGGCGGAACCCATCCCGACCTTAAGTGGAGGCCCTTCTTCAGAGGCCACCGTAGAAATCGAGCCCTTGCCCGGATCAGTACGGCAAGTCTCCGAAGTCATACAGCGCCACCAGTCGCCAACACAGACATTCCTCTCCTCTCCCCGGCGCCAATTTTTAAGACTCGCTTCCTGAGTACGAGTAGCAGTGTCCCGCACTTGATGAAGGCATTGCCCTCTCTTCCCAAAGAAGCGCAACTTCAACTAAGACGAGCTTCAGAGGCTTCTGGAGATGATTTGCGATTTCCAATAAAGTTCTCACCTTTTCAGCTCGAAATCCTTGCAACTCCACGGTCGAGTCCTAGAATTACTGCACATTCAGATGTGGGAGACCATGAGTCTTTCCGAGCCAGCATTGAGCTCGAAGTCGTTCAACCCCGGAGAGGGCAAAAACCGGCGGATCCTGGTGTACCAAGCCCGAAAATGAAAGTGGCTGTGGTGTCAAGCCCATCGAAGCGAAAACTTCGACTCAAAGCATCTCGACTGGCCTTGGATGTGGACACAATTCCAGAAGACCAGACCGGCACAGTGAGACGTCGATCCAGTGTCAAGCAAAGCATACTTTCCGACTTACCGACTCATCAGGCCAAAGACCTCTTCACCCCGGAGCGCCATGAGGAGCGCCAAAGTAGCATGACTTACCGGCGGAAGGGAAGACGATTTATCCAGCTCACACCAAGTGGCGGGGAAAATTTACCGGCCCGTATCTCTCCAACAGCAAGATACTCCAGAGATGGGCACCTTCACGAGCGTGACATTCCTCTGGCGCACCCTGTTGACGCGAACCTCTATAGGTTGAGTGCGTCCACCGATGGATTTGACCTCAGCGATTCCCGAAGCTTCAGCTCCGATTTGACTTTTTTCCGGCCGCAGATCCTCAAGAAAAAGCTATCGAACCTCAGGCTTTGCCTCACCAAGTCACGTTTGAATTTTCGAGAGCGCGTGAACAAGCACACTGGCAGGCGACCCCGACCAACCAGGTTCATTGGCCCGACGAACTCTAACGTGACGTTTGTTCACAGTGAATGGGCCACGGCCACCCCGGGCCAGCCGAAACAAGTGCGAAGGAAGATGAAGATATGGATTCGGCAAGCTGTCCGCATCTGCGTCAAAGGCCGGCGAAGAGAGAGCGAAATTATCTCTTAGCCACCAGGGAGAAAATGTTGGAATCATTATTAGCGTCATTGGGTGCTTTTCTTGCTTGATTCTCAAGGACATGAGCTTCTTGAAAAGAGACTTGTTGCTGTTTCTGGGGAGAGTTGTAAGCGGAGTGATGGACCGGGGCCCGAGTAGATGATACATGCGGTTGGTTGGGACGTAATGAGCGATGGCGGGTTTGTTGAGAACGAGACATCGTGAAGTGGCTTGACCAGGTCAGGGCCAGATTAACAGAATCAATAAAATACGATATGAGTTATTACATCTATCTCGCAGTGGTCAGGAGGCGCTAAACGAGAATTGGAGGGCTTGCATCATGATGTTGACTTTACCGTACCATGTACGGCCATATATGGCCATATACGGGATACATGACGGAGGGGCTGATTGGCCATGAGGGTTCTCATGGCTTTCGTAACTGGCCTTCACAAAACCGAGCTATCCCCACGGGAGTTCGTCGTCGTCGAGGTTTCCTCGGTACATACTGTCCACGCGACCACCGTACATTCGTTGAGGTACTCCACCATACCGTTCGTTCAACCGACACTCGTTAGAAACTATCGTGATACAATCCCAAAAGTCATCTCGAGACTTGACCACTCGCTAAATATTGCCATTCGTTTCACTAATAGCTTCACCTATTGCTACATCAACTCCACCAGCTTCACCAATAGCTACATCAGCTTTTCACCATCGGCCTCTACCATCGACTCTATTGAAGAGCGACACCACCAAACTCCATCGACGATTCAATCCGCATCGTAGCCCGGCAAACCTATTCCTTTCATCCTTTCCTTCCCTGCTTTCCACAACTTAACCCAAACCAAAACCAACAATGATCTCCTCCCTCGCCGAGATGAAAAACCTCAAGTCGCCGCTGGACCGTCTCCCCCTAGTTATCCAACACCCTTCCTTCTTCGAGAATCCGGCCCAACACCTCTCGTCGCGATCATCTTCGGCGATGGGGGAGTATACTAGTGTCCCCGGGGTGCAGCTCTTTCATATGGAGCATAGAGGAACCAAGGACATTAAGAAGAAGGATGCGGATGATCCCGTGGAGCGCAAGGATAGCGTCATGACGGATGGAATGGCGGACGACTCCGTTGACAAGACGCATGTATTGCCGCAGTCGTCGTCGGTCCATTCATCCGAGTTGGGGGCCAAAGAGAAGACTGAGATCATGACGGTCCGTAAGATGGTCAAGGAGTTTGATGAGGAGGGGGAGAGTAGTACTGCGCCCTCTGAGGACGAGAAGAAGAAGGCGGAGGAGATGGAGATGGGGAAGCGTATGAAGGAGAGGGAGATACGTAAGAGGGAGATGGAGAAGCAGCAGAAGAAGGACAAGAAGAAGGAGAAGGGGGAATCCGTGCCGTTGCCCGGTGGTGGTCAATGGGGCGGCGACGCTCGATGGGTGAATGGAGCACGAGGTCGGGGCCGCGATGCTCCCGGTATTTTTCTTCAGCCCGAAGCTCCTCGGTCTTCGCCTCCGCCGCAGCCGGCTGGTGACCCTACCACCGCCGGCGTCTTCTCGCCCGAGCCGAAGAAGAGCAAGAGACAAACTAAACAAGAGAAGAAGAAGCAAAAGGAAGAGGCCGAAAAGGAGGAGCTTCTGGTGCTGCCCAAGGTGCCGTGGTGCCACCAGAGCGGCGGGTGTCGCCAGAAGCGCGGACGACGGAGGAGGAAGATGGCCGGGTTCGCGGCGCGGTCAGTGGATTTGCTGCGTAGGCTTTTCGGTAAGGGGGGTAGGGAGAAGGAGGATGGGAAGGGGAAGGGGAGGGCGCGGTGTCGGATTTGTGGTGATGAGCTGGGGTTTGCGGTTGAGCGGGCGGAGTGGCAAGAAGATAAAGAGATTGCTGCTGTTGCTGCGGTGGGCAAGGAGACGTCGAGCGGCGCTGGTGAGCAAAAGTTCGACGTGGACTCGGACAAGAAGGACATGGATCGAACCGATGCCGATGGTATGGGGGCGGCGGCGGGTGAATCACGCTCGACGTTGGCGACTGTTCGTCTTACAAAGATCCCAGAGGCGTGGTGGACATTGTAGATGGCTTTGACTGTAGAGTCATCATTGTATTGATACCCAAGTAATCTGTCGAGAGAGGCTTTCCCTCTCAGTCAGCATGGCCACTAAGGGCCCGCTCATGTAATTTCTAATAGCTAATAGCTAATCAGTTCAAGCGTATGAAGTGTTCCCGAAGATTCAGGGGCTATCACGTTTCTCTAGATCAGAATACGCCTCCGCCAATGATGAAAACCCGTTCCTCCTCGCGGCGGGCCCACTGAATGACCTTATTGGCTCCTTGTGTGAGTACGGCACGGCTCACGTTGGGGCCAGCTACGCAGTAAAATTCGAATATTGGTGTGATCCAGGCTAAAGAAGTAGCATCCTCGGAGACGGAATGTAGAACGCGCATATGGGAGTGTTTCGCGTGAACAGCGGCGTGTAGTTGATGATATAGGCCCATGAGGCGGCGACGGGCCATCAGGGAGGAGAATACGGGATCGAGGGCGGACATGCTGAATTGCACGTTTGCGCGTGATTTGTAGAGAAAGTGGGATATTTGACCACCAGGGGCAATGTCTGTGGTCTTTGGCCGTCCAGCACGCGCGGCGGTCTGTATAAGAGAGAGGTGGCCCGACTTGGCCAGGGAAGCGGCGACGTTATCGCGCATTTGCTTGAGCTCAAAGAAGGACTCTTTGTCCGGACTAATGAGAATGATGGCGAGTTCTTCGTCCTTGTGCACCGGTGCCTCCTGTCCCGTAGCTTGCTCGCCGTCGACACCGTCGAAGAAGCTGACGTACATGTACAAGTATCCACGGTTGTTGAAGGCCGGTAAACATAGGGGAATCCAATTTTCTCCGCCGCCGGCTTTGATCCCACCTGATTCAAACAGCATGTTGAAAATGAGTTGGAGGTCGCTAGGATGCAGAGAGTGGCGACGTGGTCGAATAACGCTGACCAGCTTACCACCGGCTACGATCAAGCCGTACAGAAGCTTGTCTGTCCTCTGCTTGAGGAAGGCATTGTTGATGGCATGTCTCTGAGACTTGCGCAGCTTGAGACATTCCAATGCGCCAAGCAGTGCTGACGGGGAGCCTTTTGTGAAATTATCGGCAAGGGACGAAATCAGGGGCTCAGTTCCCTCAAGTGGTTTCCGCAGGTCGGACGATGGACGATGTACAAAAATGTTCTTCAGCGTGGGCAGCGTCAGTGTCGATAGAATCTGCATATATAGTGCTTCGAGTTGCGCTCGTAATTGTGAGTCACTCTCGCCGAGCCGACTGATAGCGACGAAGTAGAGGGGCCCTTGTGTTGCAACAACAAATCGCGTAGTTCCAGCAGTGAAACCGGACAAGGGGTTCTTGGCCCCTTCATAAAAGGATATGAGGGTTTGAATGACGCCCATAGACGAGTTGATCAGTCCCAAATCTCCGTGACGACTGTAGATGGGTTTGCCCGCCGAGGAAAGAATCATGTAGTGCTTCAACTTTGCCTTCCACATGGTGACTCGGTCTTCGTCTTTGAAACTCGTGTCGGCCTCGTCGGGTAGGTCGTCAAACTCATGCTCGAACCCAGCCAGATTACGGGTTGTGTTGTCCATCCTCAAGGTTTCGAAGGGCGGCACCGTTGCCGATTGCGACCTAAGTAGGTTCCATGCCGGGCTTCTTTTGTTGAACTCCCCCATCAGCAAACTTGCAATGTCGTTGGGCGGCCGCAGGGTCGGGGAAAAGCTGGCGATGCTCATAGAGTCTTCGCCTTCGCCCAGCGTCCTCGTTGGAGTGGCTTGGCCGCTTGTCGAGGACTGCACGGGGGTCGAGACCGCCCTGCTGCCTGGGGTCGAGAAAGTGCCGCGCGAGCCATCTGGGAATGACAGGGTCTGGATATCGAGAGGTGTGATTGCGGTGGTCGCGGCTGCCATGGCCATTCTCGAGTCTATCGATGCGTTCGATTCCATCGAGGGTCGTGGAGGCAGAGGGGGAGGTTGTTCCTCGCTGGGGCCGTTTTCGTGGTCCTCGCCCATGATTGCGATGGCGGGAGCATTTCAGCTAGGTGGTCGGGAAGTGGAAAGAAGCGCGGCGATGATGCAGACTACCTGGAAGTAGAGTAATTTTGACTTTTTCAAGAGTTTGGGTGTGCAAACCAGGTTCAAGCCGCCATGACTGGCATTCGAGACCTTACCTAGGGTATAGGTAGGTAAGTAGGTTGGTTGGTACGTGAGGTTTAAAGACAGCACGGGAAGAGGAGCGAAAGAGGGACCCGACGGGATAAGAAAGAAAGTCGTCTCAAGTTAGCGCAGACCTGCTGATGATGCGTAGGAGGGGCCGCTGAGATCTAGTGGTGCGGCAGCCTCTTGGTAAAGTGCCTTAGTGGGAACGGTCCGCTAATCAGAGTCGGCTTAGGCCCACTCGCTCGCCTGACCTGGGACCGGAGCTGGGCCAAATGCCCCCAGAGCAGGGAGCAACATGGGAATCTGCAATTCCCATGGCCGAGCGGAAACTCCCTTGCCGGAGGAAACATTCCGGACTTTGACAGCTTACTTCAGCGGAACTGATCGGTATATTGGCAGCTGATTATCTAGATAATAGCAATGCTTTTTGCTGCAAGAGGATGTGCATTTGTGGGAATGCGTAGTATCTCAAGCATAGACAAGAGCCAAGTTATGGCATGGACTGATTACTACCCAGAATGTTTTGCATGCACGCTAGGTATCTTAGTTGACAGACATGAACGGAAACAATACGTTCGATTCCCTCCAAAGTGTTGTCTCTAGGATTTACTGATGTGTCTCATATCGTGAGGCTCGAAGGTGGAGTGTCCAATCAAGGTGGAAAAGCGACAGAATGCAAACGAGCCCACAATTTCCAGGTGCACCCCAAATCCAATGCTTGATGACGTTGCGCTTTATCCCATCTCGGCGCTGATGGAGAGGATTGTGCCAGCCTCGTCAGGCGAGAACGGTCGCTAAACTAGTATGCCCAATGGGAAGCTTGGGAGCTTTCAGGGTGCCCCCACTGTACACCTGTCGTTTGGAAGGAGACATGGTAGCCTTTCGAGCTCAAGCAACGCCGACCCCATTTAAACCCTGTTCACGATCAATGCATGCGACGACTACCTACGCCAGCTTGATTTTGCAAGGCTAGGCAGCGATGCGATACCGTCTCTACAAGATCAGAAGAACAGACTGATGTACTCACTCGTTCAATCAACGCCCATTCTCAGCAATCATGGCCCTTGAGCCTGGCTCTGGCCGTCGGTCTGTCTCCCCAGAGAGCTCAGGCCGCGAGTCTCCTCTTCCTCGTCAATGGAGGAACCAGCTCGGAGCTGGTAAGCAGTTTGTCTTCAATGTATCATGGTCTTCATGTATTGATTCTATGAAACAGAGGAAACTCCGACCAAGGACAAGCACTACCGCAAATACGCTTCCGGTGTTGAGAGGGCTCTTACGCTGTTTGAAACGGCCTTACAGGAATGGGCTGACTACATTTCCTTCCTGAATCGCCTTCTCAAGGTAAGAACTGCTTCTGATGATGCTAAATAGATTTTCAGAACGATGATAGACTGATCTTACTCAACAGGCACTGCAAGCCCGACACCCCTCAGTCACGACTATCCCTTCGAAAGCCATTGTCGCGAAACGTCTGTCGCAGTGTCTCAACCCCTCCCTCCCGTCCGGCGTGCACCAAAAAGCACTCGAAGTCTACAGCTACATATTCGCAACCATAGGAACCGATGGATTATCCAAGGATTTACCCTTGTACTTCCCTGGCCTCGCGTCGACCCTTTCGTTTGCCTCTCTATCCGTCCGATCCCCTTTTCTCGACATTCTTGAACGCCACTTTTTAGACTTGGATCCCCGATCTCTTCGACCAGCCATGAAATCCGTTGTTCTGGCCCTTTTACCTGGCCTCGAGGACGAAACTAGCGAGGACTTTGAACGGACGTTGCGATTGATGGATAGCTTCAAGACCGCGATTCGGCCCACAGGTAGCGACGAACTGGATGGTCCACACTCATCGGGAGATGACTTTTTCTGGCAATGCTTCTTCTTGGCCTCTATCACAGGTTCAAGTCGGAGAGCTGGAGCGCTAGCATACCTTGTGAGGAACCTGCCCAAGTTAGGCGAGAGCTCCAGCCCGGGAAAACCAGGCAAAAATGGCGTTCAGGAAGACGAACATTCTGCAAAACTCGCACAAATGGTCACCTCGCCGGAACCAGGGCTGCTATTGCGTTCATTCGCTGCGGGGCTTGCAGACGAGCAACTGCTGATCCAGCGTGGATTCCTAGACCTTTTGGTCTCCCACCTTCCCTTACACTCCAAAGTGTTGCAGACAAATGTCAAACCAGGTGACTTGGAGCTCCTTCTGCGTGCGGCGGCTGGCGTTGTCACCCGGAGAGATATGAGTCTCAACCGGAGGCTTTGGGCATGGTTCCTTGGCCCGGACCCTGGACCCGGAGAAAGTGAGAGTGGCATCGAGTCACCATCTTCGACAGACCATCACAACTCCTATTTTGCGTCCAAGACAAGCTACTTCGAAGACCATGGGCTGCAACCTTTAACCAGAGCGCTGTTGAGCATGATTCATGTTGACCGCGATTCGAGTCCAGCAGAAAGAGCGAGACCTTACAGAATATGCTTATCACTCATGGATCGATGGGAAATTGGCGGGCTCGTAGTTCCCGAGGTATTCCTTCCGATTGTCAACAGCGTTCGGCAGTACAGAGACTATGCGCCCAGCAAAGCCGACTTCAACGAAGTGTTCCGTAGTGCAAGCGTTTTCTTCGACGGTGTCGAGAGTGGTCTGATTTACGGCGAAATTGTGAGTCTTTTAGCGCAGGGTATAGGACCGGGAAACTTTGCAGAAAAGGAGCGGCTCGACAAGTTGGATTTGGTCAATTTCATCCTGGCAAACTTCAATGTCCGCGAGGAAGAGATGATCACTATTCATGCGCCCCTTACAGCTCTTTCCATCCTCTGTATGCTAGAGGACACGAGGGAACGACAGCAGAGTAACTCTCCCAAGAAGTCATCGCAGAAGACCGCT